AGAAGTTCCTCAGGTGCAGATCTTACACAAGTGAGAGTATATGTTAGCTAATTTGCCCAAACTCTGTGGAAAAGGCAGCCTTGTTTCTTATTAGCCAAATGACCTTGAGCTCGGGGACAGGATAGAGAGGACGGAATAGCCCACCATGAGTTGAATGACGTACTGTGACCACCTTGTAGGAGTGACTGATGACATCTCGTTGTCTTGTAGCTAGGGAGGTGGGAGTCCTTAACTGAAGTTTAGTACTTGGTGAAATAGGTTCCAGGTAATGTCCCCACAAAAAAAGGCCATCAGGGATCAGATCCATCATCATCTTTATTTAATTTTATTTTATGTACATTGATATGAAGGTGTCAAGTCCCCTGGAACTGGAGTTACAGACAGTTGTGAGCTGCCATGTGGGTGCTGGGAATCTAACCTGGCTCCTCTGGAACAGCAGCTAGTGCCTCTTCCACCCCTCATCATCATCATCTTTAAGAAGCTTCTGAGGACCAGAGACATAGCTCAGCCTGTAAAAGTGCTTGCTGCCAAGTCCAATAACACAAGTTCAATCCCCAGCATCCACACAGTGGAAGAAATAAAGACTCCAATGGATGTCCTCTGGCCTTCACATGTGCACCCTGCCATCCATGCACCTGCACACATGCATACATGTATACACACACAAACATAAATGTTGTTTTCTTTTAATTTAAACTTCTGAACCCGGAATAGCTCTTGTTTATTTTATGTCACCTGTTATTTCTCATTAGTGAAAAGTCTTTTTAAGTGTAAAAAGCTGCACCCTTGGAAACCTTGGCTGAAGCCTTGGGGAGAGAGTAGGTTAGGAACTCTGGGGATACCTAACCACTAGCTGAGTAGGTGGGACTAGTTTCAAAGCCCAGCCAACCTCTAGGAGCCCAATAACTGGGCGGAGCTTCCAGGAGGGGCATTGGCTGACTTTGTATAACGTCATTAGAGGCCGTGAGGTGATTCTTCTAAACTTTGGGGTTGGGTGTGGGGTCCCAGACATGTGCCCGGATGCACTCAGTTATTACCCTCTGCAGAGAGTGTATTTTGCCCTTGGCAGCCCCTCAGCATCCCCTGGCCTGTCCCCTACCGTGTCCTCTGCCCTTTGCTTCCGCGCTGTCCTGCTCCTGGAACCGCTGAGCTCAGCTCTTCCCTCAGCCCTGGGCTCCAGCTTGCCGCCTTTGTCCCCGCCTTTAAGTCTCTCTGCTGCCGCTCAGCGCTGCGGGGGTGGGGACAGTCGCCCACATCACGCCAGCCACTGCTTGTTTCTGAGCAGAGGAAGCGCGGCGACCTCAGCTGCGGTGCCAGATCCTGCCTCTGAAAAGCCTTGGCTGCCATGCCCTGCCTGCCGTTTGCCAAATGGCGAATAGGCCGGCTCTGTTCTGGGAGATTCCGGGGCGGCGGCGGGGGTGGGAGGGCTTTCGGAGAGAGCCCCGGCCCTCCTTCCCTACAGGGAGAAGAAAAGGATAGAGGGACGGTCTGCTGTGAGATTTCACACTGTCTGTCCCTGGCAGAAATGTCACAGGATTTTTAGGCTGAGAGCCTTTATTGATAATAGGAAACTGGCCTGCAGGTCATACATAGTATGCCAATTTAATTGTTTTAAATGTCGCATTTTTCCACTCTCAGATTTTCTATTTTAGGATATATTCCAATCATACAGTGATGGGTTTCAATATGCCTTTCTCATGTATTTGTCTCATGTACTTTGAAATCTTCTTATTCGTTGAAGTTTCTTATTTTTAAGTTCAAGTAGTACATCTATAGAGAAAACATGATTAGAGTTTTCTGGGCCCAACTTAGCAAGAGGCTCTCTAGTCCATTTTCTGCAAATGGCTTGATTTCATTCTTCCTACTGGCTGAATAGTATTTCATTGTGTATATGTACATTTTCTTTAGCCAGTGATAAGCCCTGATAAGCACCTAGGCTTATCCCACAACTTGGCCATTCTGAAAAGATCTGTAGTAAACAAGGGTGTGTTGACAGGATGGTCTCCTGCCTTTGATTCCTTCTGGAATATACCTAGGCGTGGTATATCCGGACCATCAGATAGTCCGTCTTGATCTGCTGAGTCTTTCTTGCCTTCTCGTGTTCTGTGCTTAAGATGCACGCCCCCACTTGCCTCTTGCTAGTGCGGGCCTGCTTGGTAGCTCACAGGGACCATGGTACACTCGGAAGAACCTGGCAATTGACCCCCGACCTCTCCTTCCACGCCACTGGGAAGAATTCAGCTTTGAGTGATTGCCATCTGTGCCCCTCCTCCCCAGCTATAAAGAGAAACTTCTCCTTCCATAGATCACTGCTATTTTGAGGGCAACCCGCAGAAGTGACGTCATCCGGGGTGGGACCAGTGGAAGAGGCTATTGGAGGGGAGGGTGATGCAGTTCTTAAAAAGCTAAAACTGACGCTGGAGAGATACTGTCTGCTCTTCCAGAGGTCCTGAGTTCAATTCCCAGCATCCACATGGTAGCTCACAAACATACAGAATGAGATCTGGTCCCCTCTCTGGCATACGGGCATACATTCAGGCAGAACACTATATAGATAATAAACAACTAAATCTAAAAAAAAAAATAAAATCTAAAACTGAGAAACCTAGATAATCCAAGTGCAGGCTGAGGCTTAGACCCTGAGAGGGTAGAGGCAGGACAAAGTCTCCTGTCTCTGGCCTATTGGGCTGAGGGTTCAAAATCTCCACCAGGCACCAAAGATGAGCTCAACTGTCACAGGACCGTGTGCCCTTGAGGGCAGGGCAGCCCAGCCCAGTTCCCTGGTTGGCGCTGCCGGAGTGCACGTGCTCTATCCAGCTCTGACAGTGGCAGGAGGAAGTTTCTATCAATGTGGGGGTGGAGTGTTTAGGGAAAGAAAGCAGCGAGGGAGTTAGGGGAGCACCTGTGGTCTCAGCCTGGTCAGAGGCTAAATGCCAGCCTTCTTGTCTTCTACCTGAGTGACTGAGCCATGGTTCCTGCTAGGAAGTGGGGATGATACCCAAGCTCATAAACCACCACGGTAAGGGAGTAGTGGGTGCTGGCTAGTCCGCTACCCACACGCGGGAAGGCCTCTGTGAGATCTTCATTCTTTGCTTTTCTCGTGCAGCCGCTTGTTATCCACAAGACTGATACAGTTGCCCTCTTCCAGATCAGTTGTTCTGAGAATTTGTGACTCACCCAGGGCCTATGTCCTGTCTCCTATTTATTTTCCTTCCCTGGGCGAACCTCACAAATTGCATCCTGATGTTTTAATTAGGCTAGCAAGAGGCTAGATGGCTCTTTGATACAGAGCTCCTCATATCAAGATGTGCTGGGCCAAAAATAGAACCCCAGAGAGACCCCACAACTTGTGCACCTAAAGCCCCCGTTGACCCTATGTACGCGCTCCCACACTGCTCTCCTCCCCGCTCTTTTTTACCATGCCCTTGGGTGCTCTGGCGGCTGGCGACTGAAGACCTTGGGAGGCCTCTGACGCAGGCCTGCTCCCTCTGTCTCCAGGGATGTTGATTCAATCTTCTCCAATCGCCGGCATTGCCATCTGCCTTCAGTAATTAAATGGTATTTGAACTGGATCCAGAAATCCCATCACAGGCTGCCACGTGGTAGGGAGGGTATCTCAGGAACTCATACTCGTCCACACGGTTGGAGGGTCCTCCTAGGCTCCCGCAATGTGTCTTCAGTTCACCCAAGAGCACCCCTGTGCCTGAGAGGAAGCATCCGGTCTTAGCTCCACAGGCCCAGGACGGAGCTTTGGCTCCCGTTTCTATGCCATGCCTCACCCTCTACAGCCGCCCCTGTTTTCCCGGGGTGTCTGAGGCTTCCCTCCACTCTCCCAGCCCTACTACAGGGCTGTGGAAGGGCTAGTACATTCAGCCTGCCTGGGCTTGGAATGGCTCCTCACTGTCTGTGACTCGGAATGACACCATTGGGTTTCCTTGTCTGTCTGTAGGGCACTGGTAATGACCTCCTGGGGTTGTATGGTCAAGAGTTAAGACGTGTCAGTTCATAGACCTTGCCCTGCAGGCAGTGAGCTCTGTGTGTGTCAGTCACAGTGGTTAGGGCAGAAGTAGAAATCAAGGTAGGCGGAGCCTGCTGGGACAGTGGTGAGGAGGCGGGGTTCTGGTCTGGAGGTCCGCAGTGAACATATGAGCATCAATTTTGCCCTTTCTGTCAGAACCCAGTTTCAGTGAGTAGGTAAGAGGCTGGGCAGCTGGGCTCTCATCTTGGTATGGCTCTTAACAGTTATATAAGGTGGGGACTTCTTTGGGCTTCCATTTCTTTCTGGAGAGAGCCACTCACTAAAGTGACTTTTTATACCTCAAAGAAAATACTTCTGAGGAAAGCCAGACTCCCACATATGGGTAGAGACCTGCCTCAGTACCCACTCCCCTCTGACCCCCCTCCCACACCTGCCCCGCCCCAGTCCACTCATCCACAGCGGAGAGCAGCCATAGGCTTGGGAGCTCCTTACCCAGCTGATAGCTCTGAGTGGGTCTCTGGGGGTTGGGGCCACTGGGACAAGGACAAGATGATGACTTGGAGGCCTGGGCTCTGTAGCTAGGCACCTCTGGGCCATGAGTGGGTGCTGGCCTGGCCCCTCTTGTTCCTTTCTTTTCCTGGTAAATGTTGGCGTAGGGAGAGGGGCTTGACAAGCAGTTCATTGTAAGCGTACAGCCCGTCGGTGGGGCCGCTGTGTGAACCCATGGCAGTAGAGCTTACCCCCACTCTTGCTCTAGGATATCTAAAGGGTGCTTTCTGCCAGTCCTTGCTTGCGCATGCTTACTGACTCAGGCTTGGTTGCCATGGGGACCTCATCATGGTGATGCAGCTTAGAAAAGGAAGTGAGGGGAGGCTGGATGGAGACGGTTCTGCCAATGGCTAGCTCCCCACTCGGTACTGGTGCCAACTCTCCCTCTAAATGGGGATCCTTCCTGAGCCAGAATTTGGGATGTTGGCACACCCTGCAGCTGGCTCAGTGTCCCTTCTCATTGCCTTGACAGGGTACTTTGCACTTGACCTAGGCTGCCCTGATTGTGTTTGGTCTGGCCCCTCAACTCCTGAAAGAACCAGAACTTGTGTCCAAGAGTACCACTAGGCCCCGGCACCTCGGGAGATGGCTGCTGCCCTGAAGACCCTTGCAGCCTCCACAGGTCTCAGCAGAGGTGCTGGCCTTCTTCCAACCTGACTCTGGCCCAGAGGAATGTGATCCAGAGTTGTACGGAGCCACCTGGCCTGTCCCCCTCTCCCCAGCCTTGTCCCTAAGCTTTATCTCTCCAGAATGGGCCAGCTGTCATCTTGCAAGAGGGATACTGACTTCCAGGCCCCTGGAGGCAGGGGGTGCCTTCACCTAGGTTTGGCCCCTTCACTCTCTGTTGTACAGCCTTGGGTCAGTCATTGAGACAGAGGCTGAGAATGTCTCAATGACTGATCCGATGTTGTACCACGGGCAATCAGGCAAATCAGTAGATCCCTCGCTGGTTCACAATGAAAAACATATGAGTTCGTTTATATAGAACATACTAAACATACATTCAGAGTACCAGGCATTCAATCAATGTTAGCAACCGCTGGTTTGGGTGATACTCATGCATTACTGAAGGTTTTTCCTGGGGCTCCCAGCCTTGCTTCCTTTCCTGGCTTGTGGGGTTGGGAGAAACATGGCTGGTAATGCGAGAGGAGGGCCTGTCGCCCTTCACCGAGCTGCTCTTTCCACCCTGTGCAGGATCAGACCCCAGCTGTCGAAGGAGAAGATTGAAGGCTGTCACATCTGTACCTCCGTCACCCCTGGGGAGCCCCAGGTCCTGCTGGGGAAGGACAAGGCCTTTACCTATGACTTTGTCTTTGACCTGGACACCTGGCAGGAGCAGATCTATTCAACCTGTGTAAGCAAGCTCATCGAAGGCTGCTTCGAGGGCTATAATGCCACAGTGCTGGCCTATGGACAGGTAAGCCACCCCTGCCCCAACCAGTGGCCATTTTGAACTCAGTCTCCCCCCGCCCCCCTACCCAGTGGGGGGATAGGCCAACCAGAGAGCAATCAGTTAAGGCCCGGTTGTGCAATTTTGTCTGGCGTCTGTGTTATGAGTGTATGGCTGGTTAGCCGAGGCAGGGCTTTCAGCAGAGAATTCTATAGGGTATGATTCTGGGTTCGACTTGACTGGAGGTAATGGGTAAGAGCCCAAGCCAAGGCTTGCTGGTTCCCCAGAGGACACTGGTCACCACGTGCTCTCTGTCCTTCCCTTGCAGACAGGGGCTGGGAAGACATACACTATGGGCACTGGCTTCGACACAGTGACATCAGAAGAGGAGCAGGGCATCATCCCAAGGGCCATTGCACACCTCTTCAGGGGCATCGACGAACGCAAGCGGCGGGCACAGGAGCAGGGCGTCACTGGGCCTGATTTCAAAGTCAGCGCTCAATTCCTGGAGGTACTATGGCCTTGGAGGGTGGTCGGGAAGGAGATGTGTTGGAACCTAAGGCCATGGAAGCTGGAGGCTCCAACAGTGCCGAGAAATGAACCTAGGGAACCCTGGAGACAGCTATAGAGGGTAGTTCCCCGCTGCTGGGAGTATCTAAGCAAGGGTTAGAGAAACACTTGGGGGTAGTTGAAGTGTTTCCTGCTTCAGATGGACCCTGGCTGTTTCTGGCCCTGCCCTAGGGCAGGTCATGTGAGCATTCTGCTCTACTTCTGCAAAGTGGGTTTGACCTCTTTCTCGGGATGAGTGAGTCTGGCATGGAAGCCTGTACCTGGAACGTGGTGGGAGCCCTGCTCTGTCTGTCACTGTGTTCTGGCCCCACCGGGCCCTTCCTCTGCCTCCAAGCACCTACCTGTATCTTTTGGACTAAGATGCACCGTGGCCTTTCAGTACAGAAGGGTCTCTGACAGAGGCTTTCCTTCCTTCTAGGCCTCGCCACATGCTTTGGGGAGTGCGTGAGGGCATCTCTGGGCTCTTTTACATTTGGGCTGTGCCGTCATATATCATTCCATAAGCAGGTGCTCTGTCTATCCTGGAGATGGCCCTCATGAGGGGAAAGGTCCAGGAAGGTGATCCGCCTTGGTATTTCTCACAGGAACCTGACCTGGCCCTTCTGAAACATGTGGTTGGGCAGTTATGATTCTCAGTGTCTAGTTTCCCTACCAACAAGCTCTGGTGTGTTTGGTGGCTTCAGAACCTGTCCCTCCCCTCCCAACCTTGAGGCTTTAACTGAACTTCATTTGCCCTTGGAGGGATGGACAGGGCTAAGACTTGTCCCTGTATACTGCCCCAGTATCTCTTTCCTGTGCACCCACGGTTACTGCTTTCCCCAGCAGGGACCTGTATTTTAGTCCTTTGGGTTCCATCTGTGTATATATGCATGTATGTGTGCTCATGTGTGGTTGCATACGTGTCATGAATATGCGTGTGTGTACACGAGTGTGTACATGTGTGTATGAATGTATGTATAGGTGTTTGTTTACACGAGTGTGTGTTTCTTGTTGTCTGTATATTATTGAGCTTTTCTCTGTTTTCTTCTCATTGCTATGGAGAACTTCAAAGAACACATTAGTAAATTTCTGGCCAGAGGGTGAATTCCCAGGGGTTAACTGATGCAGTGTGTCTACCCAATACAAGATAGACAGACACCATGGCACTCTTGTCTCCACCATCTTGTCCTTCTGTTTCCTCTTCCCCTTCCTGTGGGATATTTTTGCCCTTTAAGGCCATCAAAGCCTCGGATGTCCGCGGGCTGCAGTGCCCTGCTCTCTGGCTCTATCGGACTCTATTGGCTAATGCCCTTTTCCCACTCTGCCTGCCCCTGCCCCCAGTCTTTGACCTCGTAGCCTTTCCCCACAGCTCCGATCACAGCACTCCCCTCAGCAGACATCTGAGTGGGCTGGCCACGCCTGACTACCCGGTACAGAAGGCTGACCCACAATGCCCCTTCTTGCTCCCTCTGCTCCTGAGCATTGGGCAAGGCACATAGCCATCCTTTCCCCATCCAAAGATGTCATCACGTCTACCTCAGGGACCACAGTGCTCAGAGCTTCCGTCTCCCTGGACTCTTGGATCCTTGCCTTCCTTCATCTGAAATCACAGCCTTGTGCCATCTCTGCCAGACTGACGATATAATGAGATCCTCTCAATTCAGGCTCATGTCTTCCCCATCCCTTACCCCTAGGACTTGCATCCCTCTGTCCTTGGCCTCAGCCTCCCTCTGGAGCTGAGAGCTGCTGGATGCTGTTCCTTGGGGAGTAGAGCAACATGGGGAGCCTCAGGATAGCACTGTCTAGGAGGACCAGGGTTCAGCAAGTTAAACTCCAGAGCTTGTTTCCACTTTAGCAAATTGAGATGGTATATAAACACGAGAAAGCCCCTGGGGCTCGGAGGCATGGATCATGTGAGCCCAGCCACGATTTCCTCCCCATCACAGCTCTACAATGAAGAGATCCTTGACCTGTTTGATAGCACCCGTGACCCCGATGCCCGCCACCGCAGGTCCAACATCAAGATCCATGAGGATGCCAACGGTGGCATCTACACCACAGGCGTCACGTCTCGTCTCATCAACTCCCAGGAGGAGGTGAGCACCCTTATACATGGGCACCTTTAAAGACCAGAGCCCTACAGCACGTGGGTCCTGAGTCCTCCCTTTGCATCTGTCCCCAGCTGATCCAGTGCCTGAAGCAGGGCGCCCTGTCACGCACCACAGCCAGCACCCAGATGAATGTTCAGAGCTCCCGGTCCCATGCCATCTTCACCATCCACCTGTGCCAGATGCGCGTGTGTGCCCAGCCTGACCTGGTGAGGTGCTCTTGGGGGCCCAGGAGTTACACGCTCTAGGTGTATCCCAGGGACTGGATGATTAACCCTGGGCTAAGCTAGCACTCCAGAGATGGGGCTTGCCTCTTCCACTCAATTTTTCCTCCTCTTCAGCCTCTCACCCATTTATGCAATGGAGTAATGAACATCAATAGTGGGTGCAAATACAGCGTTTGATCTCGGGTGCTCTGCATGCATGTGGGCTTGGTACTGCGCAGCCTACCCTCACTCTTGCGGATGGTGGTGCTGTGGGGTGGAAGGCCAGCAGAGGAACAGGAGTAGGGCTTGGGTGAGCCGGATGTCACATTCTGCTGCAGGTGAACGAGACGGTGACTGGGCTTCCGGATGGAGCGGCCCCCACGGGCACTGAGTATGAGACTCTCACTGCTAAGTTTCACTTTGTGGATTTGGCTGGCTCCGAGCGGCTGAAGCGGACAGGGGCCACGGGCGAACGGGCCAAGGAGGGCATCTCCATCAACTGTGGTCTGGTAGGCACACGGAGCCAGACGGCACAGGTTCAAGCAGGCTGTGTACTTCAATGGCTATCCAGTCTTCTTTGAGCTTCTTCCAGCTTCTTCTTCTTCTTCTTCTTCTTCTTCTTCTTCTTCTTCTTCTTCTTCTTCTTCTTCTTCTTCTTCTTCTTCTTCTTCTTCTTCTCCTCCTCCTCCTCCTCCTCCTCCTCCTCCTCCTCCTCCCCTTTCCCCCCTCCCCTTCTCCTCCTCTTCTTCTTCCTCTTCCTCTTCCTCTTCCTCTTCCTCTTCCTCTTCCTCTTCCTCTTCTTCTTCTTCTTCTTCTTCTTCTTCTTTTCTTCTCCTCTTCCTCTTCTCCTCCTCTACCTCCCCCTCCTCCTCTTCCTCCTCTACCTCCTCTTCCTCCTCACTCCTGTTGGGTCTTCCTTCGCCCTCAGGCCTCAGTTTCCATGCCAGTGTATAAACCCGCCCAGGAGCCTGAGTGTTGCTGGAGGCAGCGGGTACAGATGTTTGGGATTGTGTCCACCCTGTATGACTCTTGAGCTCAGGCGCTCTCTCCCACAGCTGGGGCTGTGTGACTCTCGAGCTCAGGCGCTCTCTCCCACAGCTGGCCCTGTATGACTCTCGAGCTCAGGCGCTCTCTCCCACAGCTGGCCCTGTGTGACTCTCGAGCTCAGGCACTCTCTCCCACAGCTGGCCTTGGGTAATGTGATCAGCGCCTTGGGAGACCAAAGCAAGAAGGTGGTGCACGTGCCCTACAGGGACTCCAAGCTCACTCGGCTGCTCCAGGACTCTCTGGGGGGCAACAGGTATCTGATGACCCATGTCGAGGAAGGGTGGGAAGTTCCTAGATGGAGAATACTGATGTGGGCTTAGGGCCTGACTCCCAGGACCTAGGGGGCCTTCTCAGCCTAGGCTGCAGACTCAGAGGCAGGCACTTTGTTCAGTGACTTGTGGCTAGGTAGACTCAGTTTCATTACTTCACAACAGTGAGAGACAATCCTAAAGGAAGCCACATAGCCCAGAGAGACAAGAAATGGCAAGTGTCAGGCCTACAGAAAGGCCGTGACATATTTACCTTGCCAAGCAGAGGATTCTACAGTTAGTCATCACCCTTGCTAGCTGCTTTCAAGGATTTTCCTCTTTGGCCAGGTGGCCCAGGGTCCCACACCCCGGGTTCCAGGTCCTTTAAGCATTAAACTGGGGAGGGGATCAGGGTGAAACAGAACTTCTGCTCTGGAACAGTACTTGTGGGCCTGGCTTTGTCCTTTGTTCTCACCCAGCCTGGTTGCACCCTTAGCCAGACCATCATGATCGCCTGTGTGAGCCCCTCGGATCGGGACTTCATGGAGACACTTAACACTCTCAAATATGCCAACCGGGCTCGCAATATCAAAAACAAGGTGGTGGTGAACCAGGACAAGACCAGCCAGCAGATTAGCGCACTGCGAGCTGAGATCGCTCGCCTGCAGATGGAACTGATGGAGTACAAAGCGGTGAGCGCCCCCAGGCTCCCCCAGGCTCTCCTAGAAGGAGCTGGTCCCCCCTCCACACCCTGCCCTGTAGCATCCCACAACCAAGTCCTGAGCGGGTCCCGCCTTCCTATCACCCACCCATCATGTCTGCTAGACATCACTGTGCATCAGATATAGTTCCTAGTCCTGGGTTTTAGGGTGAATCCAGCTCAGACTGAGCCATCTAGACTTAGAATACAAAGTCTACGAGTTAGAGCACCTTGGTGTTGTAGCATGGGTCTTTTGTTCAGGGAAGGTTCTTCCCAGGTGCTGTATGTCCACTGAATATACTGTGTTGGAATGAATGAGACCACCCCAGTATGGTAGAGTCATTGACAATGAAGGCACAGGGTGCTACAGGGGCAGAGCGGCCAGCCTGCTTGCCCAGGTCGTCAGGAAGGGCTTTATGGAATGGGCCTTATATGGAGATTTAAAAGAATGGCGTATCGACAGAAGGAAGAGGCCAGCAGGCATTCTGGGTAGAGAGTAAACCATATAAAAACAACAGAAAGGGGAAAAACAGGTGCTCTGGGGGGCATGTCTAATTGTATGTAGCCAAGGCTGACATCACCCACTGGCGGCCCCTAGTCTGAATCTGTCACATAGATGGGTGGGTTTGGAATTGGTTTCGGAAGCATGCAACTTGTTTGACAGCTTTTCTGAAAGCCAAGAAGGAAGTTTCAACTTCTGTGGAAAAATTTGTCTCTACCAACAACTGGCACTAAGTTGGCTGGAGTGAGGAGCAATGTTTCTTACATGAAGAAATTTCATAATTCAAGCACAAACAAACTGTGCATTTGCAATCGTATCCTGTCTGTAAGCTGTTAAGAGGCACTGGCCTCCTTTGCAGCTCAGGACACAGACAGAATCAAGGCAATGAAGAGGTGGCAAATTCTACACTGCTAAAGCTTTACCCTTATAGTAATCCTCTTCCTTGACTAAGCAAAGATTATGGTAACATTCGTGGGCAGAAATAGAGGGGACTTAAAGGGGTGAAATTCATTAGCTTGACTTTTTACTTATACAACAGACAACTCTGTGAGCCCAGTGTGTTGGTGACAGTGTGCATAGTTACCGATTATAGCTTTAGTGTAGACAGTAAACATGAGAGCCAAGATATCGAGAGAGTGACCGCCTCTCCTAGACTGACTTTTCTCTACCCCAGTCCCCACTACTCCCTGTTGTCTTTATGTGCCAACTGCCTGGCAGGGTTTTGTCACTTGGATTAGCATTCCTGGAGAATGAAAGCAAGCTATGATAGCAAGGTAAATCAAGAATTTGAGCTTTCTAGCTGTTAGAGAGAGAACTGTGTGTGTGTGTTCATTTTGAAGACAGGGTTTGTCTCTGTAGCCATAGCTGTTCTGGAACTCTTTCTGTAGACCAGGCGACTGCCTCCTGAGTGCTGGAATTAAAGGTGTGTGTCACCACTGCCAGGCTTTTTTTTTTTTTTTTTTTTCTAAAGAGGAGTCTTGTTATGTAGTCCAGGTTGGCCTGGGACTCACTTTGCCCAGGCTGGCCTTGAATTTGTGACCTTCAGAGTTCTAGACAGTGCGATTATAAGAAATGAGCCCAGCGGGGTAGTGGTGGCACACACCTTTAATCCCAGCACTTGGTAGGTAGATGTAAGTGGATCTCAGTGAGTACGCCTTCAGCCTGGTCTACAAAGCAAGTTTCAGGACAGCCAGGACTGTTACACAGAGAAACTCTGTCTTGAAAAAACAAAAAAAGAAAACAAAAACAAACAAAAAACAAAAAAGAAGTGAGCCCCATATCCAGCGCTGTGTCAGCTTCTGAGCCTTGGGAGACAGGAACTACATTAGGAAACCTGGAGAAAGGGAGAGACCAGAAATGCCACTCTGCCCTGGGAAAGGCTCAGGATAGGTGGAAGAGGATTGCCACTATACCCCTCCTATGAGATTTAGCTCCTGACTGCTCCCTGCCTGTCTCCATCCCAGGGCAAACGGGTGATTGGGGAAGACGGTGCTGAGGGCTACAGTGACCTGTTTCGGGAGAATGCCATGCTTCAGAAGGAGAACGGGGCTCTGCGGCTTCGAGTGAAGGCCATGCAGGAGGCCATTGATGCCATCAACAACCGGGTCACACAGCTCATGAGCCAGGAGGCCAACCTGCTTCTGGCCAAGGCTGGTAAGTCCAGGTACAGCAAACTAGCTTGGAACAGTAGCATGCCTGCTACCGCTCCTGCCCCCTGGTATCAAGCAGGCTGTGATGGCCAGCCAATGCATAGATTAGTTCGTTTATGATTCCCCAGCAATTTAGCATGGCACACTCATAGCTTTCTTGTTAAACATGTAAGAGACCCATAGCGCATTAAGCAAAAGATGCAGCTCTCCACAGCTGACCTTCCACCCACATCCCCGCTGCTTTCAGAAGGATCCTTCCTGAGCAGCCAGTGCGTGTTTTCCCACACTTTCTCAGCACATTTGTTTTGAGTATAAATGCATTTGAATATATCATTTGTGCGTGCAGATAATATGCATTACATTTTCTGTAGATGAGGTCATACTTTCTATTTTATGACTTCCTTTATTTCATTTAGCATCGTGTCTTATAAAATCTTCATATTCAAAGCCACTTAATTTTTAAATGACTGCATGATGCTCCATATGTGATGTTGAATAATTTATTGAACAGCCACTATTGACGGACGTTTAGATTGTTTCCAATTTCATGCCATTACCCAACAGTGCTTGGATACAACTACGGTCATGTTCAAGTATTTCCTTCACATAGATTCCCTTATGGAAAAGCCTGTGTGAGCTACCATGCTGGAAGCACATGCAAGGCCACCAGCCTTAGAGCCATGGCCTGGGTCCTTGCTGTTGTCACCTGTTTTCCTTATTGTGCCTGTCTTCTCCGTTCAGGTGATGGCAATGAGGCCATTGGTGCTCTGATCCAGAACTACATTCGGGAGATTGAGGAGCTGCGGTGAGTAGGCCCGTCCAGTGTGAGCAGGCTGGATGGCCTTGGCGAGGCTAATTTTAGGTGGCTCACCGGGCCCCACCCACTCGCTCTGTCCACACAGAACAAAGCTCTTGGAGAGTGAAGCCATGAATGAGTCTCTCCGCCGAAGCCTCTCACGGGCTTCCACTCGCAATCCCTACTCCCTGGGAGCTTCTCCAGCAGGTCCAGCCTTTGGGGGCAGCCCGGCCAGCTCCATGGAAGATGCTTCGGAAGTGATCCGTAGGGCCAAGCAAGACCTGGAGCGGCTGAAAAAGAAAGAGGTCAGGCAGCGGAGGAAGAGGTAAGTGGGATGTCACTACCTTCCCTGCAGCCAGAACATTGGAAGGTGCACCCCTACACCATCCAGGAGAAGCGCTCCCTGCCCCACGTACAGGGAGGAGCACCCCTACGCAACCTCACCCCACGTAATGCACTTATTTGATGTGGAGCAAAGGTGCCTCCCCAGCCTTTTCTTGTGTGCTTTTCCGCAAGGCTAATCCCAGGAGATAGAGCAGGGCTGGGGGTGGGTACTGGAGGAGTAGATCACGTTCCCTCCAAAGCAGGAACCGAGTCCCATCACCACCATCCTGTGGTGCTAATTTCTAATCCGGCTTCGTTTTCATTCCCTAAGCAGCCCAGAGAAAGAAGCCTTCAAAAAGAGGGCAAAACTCCATCAGGAAAACAGTGAGGAGACTGAGAACGAGGCTGAGGAGGTGAGGGCTCCCCCGGCTGCTTCATCATGGGCTTGTCGCCATGTTCCTGTCGGGGTAGAGATTCCCTCAGCGTAGCGTGGGCCCGGCCAGAGAGTTGCCTCTAGTTGATCCTTGAGTATTTTGATAATGCTGACTGTTGCCATGGTAATCTCCATCCCTCGGGCCTTTGCTTCATCCCAAATGGATGATGCTAGACTGAGCATCCTCCACAAAACCTGTACCCAGGCTAGTAGCAGTGGATGGTCTTCCCAGAGGAGGGTGTGGCTGGATCCCACCCCTGCTGATTCCCCTGAAGTCTTGTGTGGCCCAATCTCTGTCTTGGGGCTCCCATCTCATGAGGCAGGCGCAGCCCTAATGGTACATTGTGCCCAGGAGGAGGAAGAGCGAGACGAGAGTGGCTGTGAGGAGGAGGAGGGGCGTGAGGATGAGGATGAAGACTCGGGCAGCGAAGAGAGCCTGGTAGACTCAGACTCCGACCCTGAAGAAAAGGGTGCGTGGGCCAGGACTGGGGAGATGAGTCACTGGTGGCCAGTCCCCATGGTGGGGCTGTCAATCAGATCTTGGTCCCTAAGAAAAAGTTCAGATGGATCGGGAGGGGTTGTCCTGCTAGTGTGCTCAGAGACTGCATGTCTAGACCGGGCTCAGACTCCTGCCTGTGATGACAATGAAAACAACAGTAATGACAAGTGATGGGAATCCTTAGCCCCCTCACATGCCCACTACTGTGCTGAGTTTGACCCTTCACAAGGCTTGATAGAGCCAGTGCTCGCCACTGCCTTATGCAAAGGTATTAGACCCCCACCCCTGAGTCACCACTGAGCATGCTCAGAGAGGTTCCTGACCCACTTTGGTGGACCCAGAAAGGGGTAACCTTCTGAATGAATGACTTTGGCTGGTGCCAGGACCCTCTCCTTTATGTGGAGACTTCTGTCCTTCAGCTCTGTCCTGTTGTCATCTCACCTGCAGCCCTACAAAGGTGCTCTGAGTCACTTTACCCTCCTTCACCCAAGCAGGGTCCCGTGACATCAATCATGGTGACATAGACCCATGGGCCCATCAGGGTGAGAAAGGCGTTAGACTCCCGCTAAGCTCTTGAGACCCGATAAGGATTTCTGAAGCTGCTCATTGAATGTATTGCCCCACGTGGCAGCCCTCCGCCTACCCTTCTGGTCACTGATTGCTCACTGCTGACAGAGGATGTCCCCTGACCCTGCACTGTCACCTCTGCTCCTGGCATGGGGCTGAGTCTGGCTCTGTCTGGCCCCGCCCCGCAGAAGTCAACTTCCAGGCCGACCTGGCAGACCTGACCTGCGAGATTGAGATCAAGCAGAAGTTGATTGACGAGCTGGAGAACAGCCAGCGGCGGCTGCAGACGCTCAAGCACCAGTACGAGGAGAAGCTGATCCTGCTGCAGAACAAGATCCGAGACACACAGCTGGAGCGTGACCGCGTGCTGCAGAACCTCAGTGAGGCCGGCACCATGCTTCTCTTTCCCGACCGATCCCCTGCTCTGTCAAAAGACACCCAGCATCATTCTGATAACACCTGGCTTTCTGCACAAGGGACCTTTGACCAGCACGCTGTCACCTTTTGCCATAGTTAAAATGTTCTTGTATCTAACCCAGCTTCTCTGCTACTTTTGTTTTCAAATTACATTTGTGTGTGTTGTGTGTGTGTGTGTGTGTGTGTGTGTGTGTGTGTGTGTGTGTGATTATAGCACACATGTAGAGGTCAGAGGGCAACTTGCAGAAGCCCGTTCTCTCCTTCCACCATCTGGGTCCCAGTGATTTAACTTGGGTCATCAGGCTTGGCAGCAAGTGCCTTTATCTGCTGAGCCATTTTGAAGCCCCCCCTTTTTGAGACAGAGTAGCCCAAGCTGGCCTTGAACTTAGGCAGTCTTTCTGCCTTAGCCTCCCTGGTGGTTGTCATGTGATACATTGGAAATCTTTAATCCTTTGTCTCCTAAGGCATATGACTAAGACACTTCCTGACCTCCCTCCACCCCACTATATCCAGTTTATAAAATTTCTCAAACTGTGCCCCTCTACTGCTCTGAGTCGTTGGGCGATTGACTTCCTCGTCCACTTATTTAGCAGGTGTTAGATGAATGTTATAGAAGAGGTGTTACTCTAGGGACTGGAGTTGTTTTAGTGTGTAAAATCCTTCTCATGGAGTGTGCACTCCAGCAGGGTGACAACATAGTGAGCGGAGTGGCTAGCAGGGCTGGCACAACTAAGTTGGTTGTTAATATGGAAAGGAAAGGGGATGGGGGACTTAGGGGTGGCGCAGCCTGGGGCATGGAGGGCTACATGGAGAAGGAGAAGGTAACCTTGGAGTAAGGCTCATGAGGTAGCCCAAGAGCAGAACTAGCAGTGGGAAGAACATTCCAGACAGAGGGAACAGAAGCTGCTAAGCCCCCGAGGCAGTCATGTGCCTAGCGTGTTGGTGGATGAAAGTGGAAGCTAGACCACTTAGGAGGCAGATTGGACAGGATGTGGTCAGATTCAAGCATCTCAAAGGTAGGGTGGACAGGAGGCATGGTGGGTAAGGGAGCCGTGTTTTAGGAGCCAAGCCTCTGGGCAGGAGGTGGTGAGGTTTTCAGAGATGGAGTGAAAAGTGGAAGTCGGGCTGGTTTTGGACCCGCAGTTGGGGATGTCGCATTCTGGTGCGAGCATCTGGCAAGGAGCCGGCGTGTTCCTTCCACTGCACTTCCATTGCCCTAGCTCTTCTTGTTAGCCGTCCGCTTCTTCCTGGCACCACTTTTCCAGGGACCAAAGTCTCATTCTGAAAATGCTACTGAACGATAGAATGTCAGAGCAGGAAAGAGCCTAGGGTGGCTGCTGAGCCCACATCCTCATTGTTCAAATGAAGAAGTAGGCTCAGGGGAGAGGTCAACCTGAAAACAAGAACCCTAGGCCTGTCTCTCCACTGAGCCCCCATTTAGTGGGAGCCGTGGAGCCTGCAGCTCCGACACTGCTCTTCACTGTTCTCAGGCACCATGGAGTGCTACACGGAGGAGAAGGCCAACAAGATAAAGGCGGATTATGAGAAGAGGCTGCGGGAGATGAACCGGGACCTGCAGAAGCTACAGGCTGCTCAAAAGGAGCACGCCAGGCTACTCAAGAACCAGTCCCGCTACGAAAGGGAGCTGAAGAAGCTGCAAGCAGAGGTAGCTGAGATGAAGAAGGCCAAGGTAGGCAGAGGGCATGAGGAGTAGGGTTGAGGGGCCTTTGCGGTGGCTTTAGAATCCATATTCCAAGTTAAAGATTATCACTGAACACAGCATCACCTGATCCAATCCTGCTCCAGTCATGCGCACTTCTTCCTAGTTACCTCAGCTCAATACTGGGCTCATTGCAGGTACCCTGCTCAATGCTGCTGTTGTGTTGGGAAGCTGTACTAATAGTTGCACTACTAGTATAATATACATATATAATCTAATATGTATGCATATATATATATTAGTATGTTAGCACTATTAGTATGTAACACTATAGCTGTACTAATAGTTCCCATCTGTACAAGGAAACCTTAAAGCTTCATTTGGTACAAGCCTTTAATCACAGTAATAATTGACACCATGGCTAGCTCTTGGTTAGGCATCTTGCATGCTCAGTCACATTCCATGCTTAGGACAGGAGGATAGCATTCCCATTGTGTTCATGGAGATTTGAGGCTCAGGGAAGTGACCAGGACTTAGTGCTGGGTTGTAACTTCTGCCCTTAATGTTCCAAACTGGTGTGTGTTCCTGGTGGCTCTGGGCTCTCTTTTCTACTTGGCCACACCAACAGGGCACAGTCTGCAGGGTCTGCTCTGTTGACGTCATGGGCTCAGGTCTTGAACTTCGGGTATCTAGGTGGTTTCAGCTCCTGCCTGGGGCTCACAGATCCTTGCTCAGTGTCTGTCATCCATCCCCTTCAGATCTTCCTGTCCTAGCCCTTAGCCTCTGGTGTATCCCAGCTCTCCACATCCCTGAGTAAGCTCTAACAAAGCTTGGCAAAAGTGCCTAGCCCCAGCAAGCTGAGTCCCTTGGGGACTCCTGGAACAGGAGCCATTAGGAACTGTGTCTTGACTGCTGGCTGACTGATCCTGAGCGGTACACACAGAAAAGACAGAGTTAATCAGTTTTAGAGGAAATGGATGTGTACCTGGGTGGGCTTTGTCCTCAGGGAGGTCCAGTCCTTCATCCAGGACCTGGCTCTGTCCACCTGACTATGCTCTTATGGTCCCAGGGCTACAAGTGGAAAAGAAGAACCCAGGGTTAGCCCAGGGGTGCCTGAGCAGGGCCCACTTCTTCCCTAGAGGGGAAAGAGGAGCAGCCGAGGACTGCAGCGGTCTGTGTCTGCAGATCTTGACTGTGAGGCCCACAGCTTTGGGGTCTCCGGCAGTTTAGGAGAGGTGCCGAGCAATGCTGCCTCGGGACTGAGGCCCATTTCACCCCTGCCCTGTGCCAGGCACGCACTCACCTCCCTGCGGTGAGGAATGCAGGAGATAGAGAGGAGGCTGGGTTTGGGAAGTAAGATGACCCAGGCTCCACTAGCCAGCTCTTCCCGGATCTGTGATTCTAGTTACTTTGTCTTAAAGGCTCATTTCTTTCTTGGTAAGACAGGAGAGAGGCCTTTCTCATCTGAGCCTCCTGACGATAGGGTCGTCCTTGTAACAGGTTCTCATTGTGTTGCTGTGGCTGTAAGATTGGCCCTGGAATCTCAGCCAGGCTGGGGATAGTGGCTTTTAATGGGGGCTGGGATAGACTTTAAGTGCCAAGGCCACTTCTTTAACAGCTTGTTAAGGTATCTTAGCTTCCCACTTGGGACGAGTGGGAAGGACATCTTAGGTTTCAGACCCCCAAGTCGGTGGTGCTTTGAGGGCTGCCTCCTTGACCAGTGTCCTCACAACCAGCTATGACTGGGCATATAGGCAGCTCTGGCCTAGCCTGGCCTCACCTCCGCTGGCTCTGCCATCCCAGGTGGCCCTCATGAAACAGATGCGTGAGGAGCAGCAGCGGCGACGGCTGGTGGAGACCAAGAGGAACCGGGAGATTGCTCAGCTCAAGAAAGAGCAACGGAGGCAGGAGGTAAGAGCTCCCAGGAATTTTCAGCCTCCCCCCCCCCCCCCCCCCCCCCCCCCCCCCCCCCCCCCCCCCCCCCCCCCCCCCCCCCCTACCAAGTACCCTTCAACCCCCAGTTCCCACCAGCCCAAGTGACACCAGCCTTGCTTGGAACACAATATAGCCTATCAGAAAGGCAGAGCTACTGTGGCTTCTGTCCTAACCCCTGCATGTTCAAGAAAATAACTTGAGTCCAGAGAAGGACATGATTTTTCCAAGGTCACCAACAAAACCAGACACTTGGAGCTTCAGGCCCGGGAGACTAGGCGTCTAGTCCAGGTTTGTGTTTGTGGTAGGAGGTAAGATCAAGAAAGTTAGCCTCGCGGCCACCCCAGGTAGAAGGGTGCAAATCCAAGTATCCATTTTATCTACAGTTTGGCAGTGTGAGCATCACCCCACACGAGAAGGTCTTGAGCTCTTCGCTGCAGAGCGTCCAGCCTGTCTCCAGCTCTGTCTGGACAGCGAGAGTGTTGTTGGTAGCTGGATGTGGCCCAACCCTTTTCTTTCAGTTTCAGATCCGGGCCCTGGAGTCTCAGAAGCGCCAGCAGGAAATAGTCCTGAGGAGGAAGACCCAGGAGGTGAGTGTTCTCATCAGGCCAGCTGGATAGACAGGTGTGGCTCTGGCTCCCAAGAAGTACTCCTCTAAAGCGATAAGAGGGAGGATGAACCCTTGCTATGTGTGGCCTGGATCTCCTTCCGTTCAGTGAGTGCAGCCTTACCAACTTGTAGTAGCCTGTGAGAAATGACTTCTCGACCAGTGAGCTGACCCTAGAGGGCAGAATACACACGTCCCATCCCCAGTGTCTGACTGGTCATTTAAAAAAGAGAAAAAAAGCCAGGTGGTGGTGGCACACACCTTTAATGCCAGCACTTGGAAGGCAGAGACAGGCAGATCTCTGTGAGTTCGAGGCCAGCCTAGTGCAAAGTGAATTCCAGAACAGCCAGAGCTGTTATACAGAGAAACCCTGTCTCAAAAAAAACAAAAAACAGAACAACAACAAAAAAAAAAAAAAGAAAAGAAAAGAAAAAAAAGGGGGGCGGGGCTAGAAAGATGACCCAGTCAGTAAATTACTCACCATGTAGGCCTGAGGACCTGTGCGTTAATCCCCAGCACCCACATAAAAACTGGCATGGTGGAGACAGGTGGATCTCAGAGCTTGCTGGCCAGCCAGTCTAGCTTACTGGAGAGCTCTGGGTTCATTGACAGACACTGCCTGCAAACACAGGGGGAGAAATAGAGCAAGACACTCAGTGTCCACCTCTGGTCTCCATGTGCTTGGGGACATGTGCACAGGCACACCCAGGTGTGTACATGTGTATACACCTTCAAGAGCGTAAGAGTGAGAAAATAGGAGAGTGAGAGAACAAGCATCTCTTGTGTTTATTCTACATCACAGACTTCTTATCCCTTTATAGCCCCAAGCTCAGGCCTATACAGAGCTGTCCCTATTCTCCCCAACACTCAAGCCAGGCTTTCCTGAAGTTCCGGTCTTCCTTGCTCACTGGGTCCCCTCTTCTTGTCCCCCAGTCTTCCTTGCTTATCGGGTCCCCTCTTCTCATCCCTCTGAGAGTCTTCCTTGCTCACTGGGTCCCCTCTTCTCATCCCCCAGTCTTCCTTGCTTACTGGGTCCCCTCTTCTCATCCCTCTGAGAGTCTTCCTTGCTCACTCGGTCCCCTCTTCTTACCCCCCATTTTTCCTTGCTCACTGGGTCCCCTCTTCTCGGCCCCCAGTCTTCCTTGCTCACTGGATCCCCTCTTCTTGTCCTCACTTTGCCCAGGTCTCTGCACTTAGGCGCTTGGCAAAGCCCATGTCTGAGCGAGTGGCTGGGCGTGTAGGATCCAAGCCCCCCAATTTGGATTCTGGGGCCGAGGTGTCTGCCAGTACCACCTCGTCTGAGGCTGAGTCAGGAGCTCGCTCTGTCTCCAGCATAGTGCGCCAGTGGAACCGGAAGATCAACCACTTCCTGGGGGACCACCCCGCAGCTGCTGTCAATGGCACCCGCCCAGTCAGGTGAGGAGTGTGAGCAGTGTGAGCAGGACGGGAGTGTGAAGATCTAGGAAGTGCTCTGGTGCCTGGGCTGTCTGCTTCAGAATCTATGTAGGAGCTCAGTAGAGCTTCAGAGGTTCAGAGCACTCAGCCAAAGCCCCTTTGCCTCTGCCTCCCAGGAAAAAGTTCCAGAAGAAGGGAGCCAGCCAAAGCTTCAGTAAGGCGGCAAGACTCAAGTGGCAGTCCCTGGAACGGAGGATCATTGACATTGTCATGCAGAGGATGACCATTGTCAACCTGGAAGCTGACATGGAGCGGCTCATAAAGGTGGGGCCTCCTTTCTCATCTCTCCCACCCCGCTTTTCACCAGTCCAGTCACTTGCCACTTGTCTGGCTCCTCACTCTTTCCCGTCTCCACCTCTGCTCCTCATGCCCGATCTGACCTCTGGATGATCCCAGACAGACGGGTGACTTGGTATAGGAGCTGTGGGCAGGGCTTGCCTAGGTGTGAGATGTCTCCTCCATCACTATCTCCTTCCCCATCCCCACAGAAAAGGGAGGAGCTATTCCTCCTACAGGAGGCTCTGCGGAGGAAGCGGGAGCGGCTGCAGGCTGAGAGCCCCGAGGAGGAGAAGGGGCTACAGGAGCTGGCTGAGGAGATCGAAGTGTTGGCAGCCAACATTGACTACATCAATGACAGCATCACTGACTGCCAAGCCACCATCATGCAGCTGGAGGAAACCAAGGTACCCGCAGGACAGACTGGCTGGATGGGGTGGTAGCAGTGAGTGGGCTTGGCAGCCCTGTGTGATAGGTGTTTCTGCTTTTTGGTCTCAAAAAGGAGGAGCTGGACTCAACAGATACGTCCGTGGTCATTAGCTCCTGCTCGCTAGCTGAAGCCCGCCTACTCCTAGACAACTTTCTCAAGGCATCCATTGACAAGGTGAGCTGGCAGCTCCCCTGGAACTGGGCATGCATTGTGTACCCTGGTGGTGAAGCCCACGGGTTTGGCTCCTTCCCACCTGCGTCATTTACAGGCCGGGACAAGCTACTGAACCTGCAAACCTCGGGTTCTACGGCTATAAAACCAGAGCACTGACAATACAAGGCTTGCAGCTGGCTGCTCAGAATGCTGCAAGTATGGGCTTGGCTTCAGTTATAGGTGGCCAGGCCTGTCCACAGCAGGACCGGGCTTGGGTCTGTTGGAGGCAGAGGGGAGAATACGTGTACACTAGGGATTAAGGAACAGGAAACAAAAATTACATTCCACCCTTGGCCTACCAGAACACAGGGAGTCATTGGGCCTCTCTCCTCAGTGACCAGAGAATGTGTTTCTTCCTGTCCTAGGGCCTGAGTCTTGGGACAGACGCCAGCTAGTGTCCATATAGTTAACTGGCATGCTAGGTTTTTTTTAATTTAATTTATTTATTATGTATACGGTGTTCTGCCTGCATGCATCCCTGCATATAGTTAACTGGAAAGAGGTTGAGAGGCCATCCTGCCCAACTCTTAGCGAGACCCCCCCCCCCCCCCCCGTGGCTTCTCGGTGTTTCTTTCTGTCTTAGGGGGCTGTATCAGTGTGCTGGGGTGCCATGACGAAATGTCACAGACGGGGCGGCTGGTACAACAGAGATTTCCTAAGCCTAAGATCCCAGTGTTAGCCGGGTGGTTTTTCTGGAGCCTCTCTCCATGGCCATTGTTTCTTCCCGTGTCTCCACATGATCCTTCCTCTGTGTGGCTTGTCATGATCTATTATTATAAGGACACCAGTCAGACTGTATTAGGGACCACACCTATGACCTCGTATTATCCTGGTTCCCACTCTAAAGGACCTGTCTCCAAGTACATTCACATTTTAAGGTAACAGAGGTTGGGACTTCTGCATTGAATGAGGGATTATAAGTCTACCCATAACGGAGTATATACTAGAGTGGCCTTCACTAATGTGTGTGTGTGTGTGTGTGTGTGTGTGTGTGTGTGTGTATGTGTGTGTGTGTGAAGGTCTACAGCATCAACCGTAGGCCAGGAGGAGTACATCTGACCTTGTTCTTTGGCCCCAGGGTCTACAGGTGGCCCAGAAGGAAGCCCAGATCCGGCTGCTGGAAGGACGGCTGAGACAAACAGACATGACGGGCTCCTCGCAGAACCACCTGCTCCTGGACGCTTTGCGCGAGAAGGCCGAGGCACACCCCGAGCTGCAGGCCCTCCTCTACAATGTGCAGCAGGGTAAAGCTTCATTGTGGAGAGGGCTTTCCAGCTCCCCAAACTCCCCTGCCTCAGAACTCCCTCAGAAGTCTTGGTCTGATCTAGCGGGTGAGGAGATGCTGGAGAAAGGCTTGTCCCCTTTCTGCGTACTCTGATGGGGTCTCTCATCCACCTTCCTCCTTCCTTCCCCCACCCCCTCAGAGAACGGCTATGCCAGCACAGACGAGGAAGTCTCCGAGTTCTCTGAAGGAAGGTGAGTTTTCAAGCAGGGAGCCAGCAGCCTTCCAGCATGTACCTGGGGATGGAGGAGGGGTCCTATAGGACCCCAGGGCTAAGCTTGGATTTGCAGGCTCTTTGGGACCCATATGGCTAGGTCCTAGAGAGATACAGTATAACTATCATGATCCTAAACTTCCTTGCTTTCTTCCTCAGCTTTTCCCAATCATTCACCATGAAAGGCTCCACCAGCCATGATGACTTCAAGTTCAAGGTAAGTCCTGTTGGGAAATGAGGCTGTAGGTTTAGTAGGGCAAACTCCTTACATCCTGATCCCCATGACCGTAGTTCCAGGCCTCTAGCCCTAATTCAGTTTTGTCCATAGAAGAAATGGAGATGCCAAGAAGGATCGCGCCTGGAACTGGTTGGGGGCCAGGGGAACCAACCTAGAATTTGCTATGTAGACCAGGCAGCCCATTCTTTTCACCGTGGGAGACATGACTAGACCCGCTGACAGCCTGTGTCTTCTCTACCAAGTTAGATCACTATACCCAGAGACCCTGCTTTGCAGAACATCTCCCTCCCACCCAAGACTCTGGGTCAAAGCCAGCTCTGGATCCCTAGTTATTTTCCCTGCAGTATTTGTTCAACCGCGTGGAAGTCAACAGTGAGAAAGTTTTCTTAATGGTGACAGGTTAACAGATTAGTGATAAGAATGAACCAGCACTCAAGACTCATTAAAGTTGGCTGTAGGGAACTGCAGACTGAGCAGTGAGTTATGCCTTGTCCTGGGATGATCTGATTAGGTCAGTCTAATGGATACTCTGTGGTTTGCATAGTCTAAGGGCTTCCATCAGCGAATCTCCCTCAGGCCAGGCAGTATCATTTTCCTCGGGATTTACCCACTTCTCATGTGTTTGCTTCCATACTGGAGGGTAAGCCCACACTGAACTAGATCTTCTGTTCTCAGCTTTTTTAGTTAGAATCTCAGCCTCCTCTGTATTTGGAATGGTGGGGGCTGTGTCATCAGGCCCAGGTCTTACTTCCCCTTTATGGTCCATCAGTTATGCACATTGGCCCACTCATCCTTCCTTTCCTAGGGTGAGCCTAAGCTATCTGCCCAAATGAAGGCTGTGTCTGCAGAATGCCTGGGACCCCCGCTGGATAGTTCCACCAAGAACATCACCAAGTCCCTGGCCTCCCTCGTCGAGATCAAAGAGGATGGAGTGGGCTTCTCTATCAGAGACCCCTACTACCGGGACAAGGTCTCACGCACTGTCAGCCTGCCCACCCGAGGCAGTACTTTGTAAGGAGGGGGATCCGGGTCATGGGTCAACGTGGGCAGAAAATTAGGTCTTGGATTCACTGGACCCTTCTTTTCTAGCCCTCGGCAGTCTCGAGGTGCCACAGACACATCCCCTCTGACCCGAAGGAAGTCTTATGACCGGGGGCAGCCTATCAGGTGAGAAAATACGTTCTAGAATCTGCACAAGTCACTGTCTGGTCCTCAGGGGCATGAATGGCTCTGAGCGTCTTCTCTGTGGATCATCACATACACTTGCTAGTGCGGCCCTTTGTGGCACCATGGTCATATACTCCATTTTCACAGCTAAATGGTGAGGCGTCTGGGCTCAGTGTGATCGTAGCAACCAGTGAGAGGCAGGAGAAGACCCTGCTCCAGACCCAAGGTTTCCCTCTTTGCCCATAGCTCTGGCTTGCAAGTGGCCTTGGTTGAGAGGAATTGAGAGGATATTGTTATACGTGCAGCCTAACAGCCTTCATCTGTGAACTCAGAGAGCACACTGAAATCGCAGTCTGAGGACTAAGCCGATCCAAAGGGAGGGGAGTGTAATAGTGGCTTTCCGGAGGGGGAGTGGATAGACCACCGAGGTCATAGGCTCTTTCTTGAAGGAACTGACAGTTCTCATGGTTCACAGTTCAGCTCCTGCAGCTTGTTCTGAACACCGAGTCAGTAAACCGGAGCCAGAACTGCTCTTAGGGAATATTCCCTTCATACGGAGGGCCAGGCTCCCCTAGGAACTGACCATGTCTCCAATGATGTCTGCATCACCTTGTTTAAAGAAAGACCTGAGTTACTGTATACAGATTGACAGTATTGAGCTCAACCATGGCACTGTAACCCAGGCCCCAACAAAGCTTGTCTGATCTTTCTCAGCTTTCTGATGCTTAGCAGTGTTGGAGAGGACTATTGCAGTGTGCTTTGGAACTGTTTCAGGAACCAAAATCTCCATATAATTGTACATGGTAGCTGACACTTGTAATCTTAGCATCCAGACAGAGGCCAGTTAAAGCCTTGCAAAGCTAAGGCCACTCTGGTCTATATAGTTTGTTCCAGGCCAGACAGCGCTACATAGTGAGCTCATGTGTCAAAACAAACAAATCAAAACCATCACTAAGAAACACAAAAATGCACTAATAAATAAAGGCAGTAACTGGAGCATCCCCAGGACACTTGTTTCCAGGATCAGGGTGGGAACAGCCTCAGCTGGAAGCACACACACAAAATTATACAAAGCTTCCACTGCCCCATCTAAGTCTGATAACCACCCAGAGAATGACCAGGAGCATTGATTGTGGGATTAGAAACAAACTTCAAACAGTAGATGAAACTCCAGCTACACCATGAGGGTGTGATTTAAGCATCTAGGGGCTGGAGAAATGTTGGCTCAGTGGTTAAGAGCACTGGCTGTTCTTCCAGAGGACCTGGGTTCAACTCCCAGCTCCCACAGGGGTTCACAACCACCTGTAACTCCAGTTCTAGGGTGTCCGATGCCCTCTGCTGGCACTGCACACACATTGTAATACCGATATAAATGCCAGCAGAACACCCACGCACATAAAATAAGATCAATATTTAAAAAGCATCATCTAGGGCTGGAGAGATGGCTCAGCAGTTAAGAACAAACACTGTGCGCTCTTCCAGAGGACCCAAGTTCAATTCCCAGCAACCACAACCACATGGTGGCTCACAACTATCTATAATGGGATCAAATGCTCTCTTACGGCTTGGAAGTGTACACGAGAGCACTCATACATAAAAATTAATTAATTAATTAAATAGAAAAAAGCATCATCTAGGCTCTTGGCTAGGGAAGGAGTTCTGAGGTCACTACACAACAGGCCCTGTCCCCTGGGGCTTCATGGGCTGGGACAGAAGCTGGAAACCCAATACTGGGTGGACTTGTGGATAAGGGTGTGGTCACTGATGACTCCTTCTGTTCTCATCTACCAGATCCACAGACATGGGATTCACACCTCCATCCTCACCTCCCACTCGGCCCCGCAATGACCGCAACGTCTTCTCTCGTCTCACCAGCAATCAGAGCCAGGGGTCAGCACTGGACAAGTAAGAGCAGGCCTGAGGAGAGCCAAGCAGGGCACTGAGGCTGGGAGGGGAAGCCTGTGGGGGCCGGTCAACCGGGTAGACTCCAGCCAGTCTGTTTCAGCTCCTCTGAGTCATGAGGCCCTTGATATTCTTCAACTTTTCTGTATTCATCAAGGGTCTCTCCTTTCCCCCCGAGAGTGCTGGGCTGCCAAAGAAAGGAAAAGATGGAGGTTACATCCCTAGGGTGGGACAGTCAGGAGTAGTAGCCGTGGGGCAAGCATACCAGAGAGTATTCTAGAATACCCCTTCCAACTGCTTCTGTCTTTGCTGTTCTCTGCAGCCCTTTCTTAAAGCTCCAGCTACTGATTGCAAAAGCTTTACGTAAGGCCCCGGTAATCCTTGAGCGCTTGCCCAGTGGACAGAGACCTCTGAGTCATCTCCATGTGGTGGGCTCAGCTCCACCTGTGTTCACAGCTCCTGTGGTTAGGCCGTCATTGCTATAGGGTCATTCTGTTCACAGACATCCCTGTATTCAGACGGTGCTCAACCTTGCTTCACGGTCTGCTATACATGCATGATTCCATAGGAACTGTCAACCAGCCCAAGAATTGTTTGTCTTCCCTGATTTGCATAAGAATGTGGTCCAAAGCAGAGTCCAGGGGCCTTTGCCTAGAAGGAGGCCCAGAATCTGGAACTGCTGACTCTAGCTAAGCCTGACAATGGGACTTTTGCCTTCAGGGGGACCCCATCATTCATGGTTTCATTTCTGTGCTCCCCCAAGCCCACTCTGGCCATCTTCGGCTCTATAGTTACCCAGAGGGCTCCCTTCTTTCCTCCTGAAAGCTTTCCTGCCATGAAGAGCAATGATGTTGTGACTTCCAGGGAAGCCCCAGATTATAGACTGCCTGCCCTTTGTGTGTGATTCCTGCTCTGCCCACCCTCTCACAGCAACCTCCCCTTCTGGCTCAAAACACTGCTCCCTAGGTGCTAAACCCGCGCGGGGCAGACCCAGCAGGTCAGCATCCTGGATACTGTTCTTGCCCAAGCTTACTTCATCTCAGCTCCTACTAAAGAAGCTGTGGCTATGCCTGGCCCGCCCATCCTGATACACCTCTCCCCAGTGCCATGCAATTGACTTGATTGGTCACTTGGTTTATTATTTATTTCTTTGTTTTGCTTTTGAGACAGGGTCTTGCCATGTATCTAGACTAGTCTCGAACCCTTATCCTTCTGATTTACTCTCCTAAGCGCTAGGATTACAGGCATGTGCCACTACATCCACTTTGTCCTCTCCTACTCCCCACAAATTGGAGCAGGACTCTGCCCGTCCTAGCCTGGTCTACAGGCTTTGGTCCTATCCAGTGCTCCAGTCTTGGTACCTACACACAACACAGAGTTAACTTCTAGATATGGTCTGAGGGAGGAAAAGAGCAGCGGGGGGCCTTCTTGTGTCCTTGGACAGGCTTGAGCATTGCCGGGGTGGTACAGCCGGCCCCAGCTTACACAGTGGGCCAACCAGAGAGCTTGGAACTAGCAAAGAGCCCTGGAACCATCTCCCCAAGAGTGGGCTGGCCTCCCACACCTCCTGTGGCCCTCTCCTCACCCCTACCCTGCTAGCTGAGAGACCCCCTGGTGGTCCACTGCTGGGGGACTCTCCCAGCTCCCAGGACAGTCTGTCCCCACCCTAACCCCACCACCCTCCCCGAAGGCCCTCTTCCCCTGCCTCTCTCTGCCTTCCCTGAAGAGAATAACCGCCCTCTGACCTCCCTGCTCTGTTGTTGCTGCTGCCGCTGCTGCTACCGCCATTCCTATGTGTGTTTTCCTCTCTCCCCTAATCCAGCTAATTTTCTGCCCTTCCCAGGTCTGATGACAGCGACTCCTCTTTGTCGGAGGTCCTGAGGTACACACAGAATGTCTCTCATGTTTGATTCCCTTTCTTGCTCTCTCTTCTCTTTGCCTCATGCTTCACCAACCCCTCCTGCCTGTACCCCCTGTCCTCAGCATGCTGCCCCTCCTCTCCTAGCCCCCCGCCTCTTCCACATCCATGGCCCTCCTGAGACCTCTTTTTGCCCCATGGTTCCTTCCTCTCATGGTGACCCTGTGGCCTCAGACCATGCCTGGCTAGAGCTAAGGGCTTGTGGTCGGGGAGGGTGCAGCTGCTTGTGGCTGGCCCTGTTTTCTTCTCCCTCCTGCCCCGGGCAAGGTGGGGAGGGACATGGAAGCCTGGGTTGGACTGGAGTGGAAGCAGAGGTACTGTGACGACCTTGTGAGCCTGCTAGTCTTTATCGAGTGTCTTTGGCTATGGTGGCTGTGCTTGCGGTTCTTGTAACTTAGCTTGTGTTGGTGGGTGAGTCTTGCAAACTTCAGCTCTGAGGGGCACCCAGGGGGGCAGTGCCCTGCTTATATCTCTTAGCACACAGCTTGTGGGTGTCTATTACCCTTCAGCCCACAGGACGACCAGAGGCTGGTCCCTCGAGCCTACTGAGCACAGAGCCCTCATAGCGAGGGGTAAGGCTTAGGACCCTGGCCAGCAGAAGGCTCTTATACAAAGGCCAAGAGCTCCCTCTAGCTCTCCAGGCATGCTCTCTGCTTACCATACTCTGCCATACTCTACCGTGGTTAGCACCACTGATTTAGCCTGTGCAATGAGGTCTTGCCAATAGATACTACTAGTAACATACCAGCCTTTTAGATCACCGACTCCTTTCGATACACTTTCATGGCGGTCTTGGCCTAACTCAGCCCAAACTGGCATCACGAGCTGGCAGCGAAAGTAGGGAGCTATTTATGCATGCGCTTTTCTGGCATGTGGGCATGTGTGACTAGTGTCCTGGTGTTGCACCTGGCCAAGGCAAGTCTGCAAGACAGTGCAAGAATGCTACAAGTGGCATGTCAGTCATCTCAGTAACTCCACCCCCAGCCATTGTGCCACTGTGCGCAGCAGCATTCTCTTTAAAGAGCTAGAATGTGTTTTTTGATGCAACCTAGCTGGGTCTCATCATTAAAGAGCTTCCTGAGAAAGACAAAATCACCCCCAGAACCCCAAAAGGTAGATATAGCAAAACTCTCATACTTCCTTGCCTCGTCCTTTTTCCTGTTCCCAGGGTATTGTGCAGGACAAGCAGGTACCATTCCAGGCCCAGGCAGGCTTGCTCCAGAGAGGTTCAGGCATCCCAGCCCCCTGCTGGGCTGCAGTCCCCTGACCTATCCCTTTGGATAGGAGATTTTTTGTTTGTTGGCTGGTTTGCTTGTGTTTGACAGGTTGTCCTATATGTTCCAGGCTGGCCTTGAGCTCCTTATATAAACCAGTCTGGCGGCACACTCACAGCCGTCTCCGGCTTGAGCTTACCAAGAGCTGGGATAGCAGTTGTGTGTCCAGCCCTGATTTATCCCTTTGTAAATGACCGGCACAGGTCTGACCATGCTGGCCCAACTCAGGTGGCTCTGTGTAGGTGCCCATCTGCCTCACTACTGCCCCCCCCTAGATCACTGGCTGGCAAGTGAAGTCTGAGGAGCATGACAACCTGTATGCACATCCTTCCTCTCGCCTGCCCCCAGTTTTGATCGCCGAAGAAGCATGTAGACTGATGGGCGCTACAGAGGCCAGTGCTAGCACTTGGGCCTCCGTCCTGCCCCAGCAGGGCTGGCTGCATACCTATCGCTGGCTTCAAGTTAGCTAGCCTCTCCCGATCCCGTTCCTTCCAGCGTGCCTGGCATGGACTTCTCCGGCAGTCTGAGGATGGCAACCGCAGCTCTTTCTGGCTCCCAGACCTTGGTGGAGTTTTGCCAGCAGTCCCTGAACCTCTCATTATTCACTGTCCCCTCTCAGCCCAGACCCCTCTGTCATGTGTGCCTCAGTCAGCCTGGCCACGATCCCCTTGGCTGATTGGCACATCCTCTTTCCCTCTCTCCTGGGAAGGGGCGTCATCACCCCCATTGGCGGAGCAAAGGGAGCACGGACAGCCCCATTGCAGTGTGTCTCCATGGCCGAGGGCCACACCAAGCCTATCCTCTGCCTGGATGCCACCGATGAGTTGCTTTTCACGGGCTCCAAAGGTGCGTGGAGACTTGAGGGGCCAGTGGGGCTACGTTCTCTCACCCACCACTACACGTTCTTTTTCCAGACCGGGCTGTGAAGGCAGCAGCGTACAGCTCCCCCCAAGGGTTGAGGCTATGCAGAGAGCTTGCCACTTGTCTTTTGCCTTGGCTCAGAGTCTTAGTCAGTACACTCCTGACTGAGCCTACTCTCCCACATGATCCCGCCGGCTCTCCCTGCCCACCTCCTCCTTTAGACATTTTGGGATGCTTTTCTGAAGTCCAGCATCTCCGCTCTGATACCACCAATTCCTCCCTGATATTACCCGGCACCCACGTCATCTCTGCCACTGCATCTGTCTGTCAGTGCCTCTGGTCTCAGCAGCAGGGGTTCACAGTCCTACAACTGATTACAACAAAAAAGTTAAAGACTTGACCAGAAGAAAGAACAAATTTGTAGCATTCATGCATAATAGGGGCCTGTGTGTGCACACACAAATATATGTATATGTATCTATGACACACATACATTTATCCACACGGGAGAAGGGATAGCTGTCCACTGAGCTGTGTTTGATTGGTTCCAAGTTTCCCCATGTTTGCTTGCTACTTGGTCATGTAGTAAGTAGTGGATTTGTAGCAATTTTCTTTCAGCCCAGACACCTCAGCAAGGACCAGAGAACTCACTGTTACTTAAAGTTCTCAGCCCCTTTTCTGTCTCCTGAGTTTTTTACTTTTATTTTTTTATGAGATTACACGTGCATGCATGCTTCTCTCTCTCAGAGATTGCACATGCATGCATGCTTTTCTCTCAGAGTTCTGAGATGTCTCTCCCTACCAAGTGGGACCCCCCCTCCTTTGTGGGAGCTTCCTCTCCATAGCTGTTTCCCTGTCTCTGGCAGACCGTAGCTGCAAGATGTGGAACCTGGTAACAGGGCAGGAGATCGCAGCTCTCAAGGGTCACCCCAACAACGTGGTTTCTATCAAATACTGCAGCCATTCCGGGCTGGTGTTCTCTGTGTCCAGCTCCTACATCAAAGTGTGGGACATCCGGGACTCGGCCAAGTGCATTCGGACCCTCACGTGAGTGCCTCACTACCTCCTGCTTCACGGGGCTGGGTTTGAGAAAAGCGCTTCCCCGTGTAGGTGCGCACTAATCATGGCTCAGCCTGATTAGACGGGCACAAAGGCCCTTACTGGCCCATAGAGTGACTTTGACTACCGAGGACAAGATGGTTTAGGGGACAGTTTCTGAATAGCAGGTTAGTGAGCCTTTGACCTGCCTGGCCCCTCCCTACCTTGGTCTCAGTCTTCCAAGACTGCATAGCCCTAGGAATCCGAAACACCAGCAGGAGGCAGCAGCCTCCAAAGCCAGCCAGCTTCCGCCTCACAGATGAGCCACCCACCATTGTCCTGAGCAGGGACACAGACTCTCCAGAAGTCAGGTTTTGTCCTTATGTGTGCATTAGAAGCCACAGATTGTTTAGTCTGATACTGGAAAAGCCAACACAGGATATTTAGGGCTGCAAACTTACTCAGCACGATGCAGTAGTCACAGAGAATGTCACACATTTGACTGCCCCTATAGAATATAAACCGCCTAGAATGAGCCCCACTGTGTGTCATGAGCTTGGGTGATGTGTCCATTGTAGGTCTGCCTGCTGTAGCAAAGGCTGGGGTATGGGGTGTTGACCATGGCTATGTTGGGAAGGAAAGAGATATAGGAAAACTCAGTTTTGCTGTAGACCTAAAGCTATTTTTTTAATGAAGTCTGGGGGAGGGGTTGTACACAAAATGAATGTTATCACCTCTTTCGGTGGATGGAGAAACTGAGGCATGGAGAAGTTAAGTGATTTCTACATGACCCAGGTTCAAAGCCTGCCCCTTGACTCTGTGCAAACTGCCCACGCACACAACGGGTCATAGAGACATGTTGGCTAGAGTGTAGCTCTCCCTTTGGTCCAGCTTCCAGGGGAGGTTGTTCGGCCTGCATAGAGAAGACATCCTGGGAGAAGTGACTTTTCCGAGCTGGTCCGAATGAAGTTTATTTGTTTTTCCGGCCTGCGTGAATAGCCTCTTGTGACCTCTGGCTTTGCTTTCTTTTCTCTGGGTAGGTCCTCAGGCCAGGTGATCTCAGGAGATGCTTGCATAGCCACATCCACACGTGCCATCACCAGTGCCCAGGGCGAGCATCAGATCAACCAGATGGCCCTCAGCCCCTCAGGCACCATGCTGTATGTGGCCTCTGGCAATGCTGTCCGGATCTGGGAGCTTAACAGGTCAGTGAGATGTCAGGAGAATAGGCCCAGGGAAGGTCCACAGGCCTCAGCAAAGTGTGGACCACTCTGGTGTGGGCTGGACCTCAACTGTGCCTCCGGTTCCCCAATCTGTGTGCACTTGCCCACTGTCTCTGACCTTGGTCCTTGATCTTGCTTTGAAGGGGAGAAAGTAGTCTGTGTCTATTCCAGGCCAGATTTCCTCCATCTCCCTGCTCTAACCTAATTGCCCTTCCAACCGACTATCCCTGGTTGGGCCTCTCCCCACTGTAGGTTCCAGCCCATCGGCAAACTGACCGGCCACATTGGCACAGTGATGTGCCTGACAGTCACCCAGACTTCGAACCAGCATGACCTCGTGGTGACTGGCTCCAAGGACCACTATGTGAAGGTACCTGTAACCGCCTTGACACTAGCTGGGGTCTGACTGGAGCCACCTCTGCTCTCAGGCCTGAACGATGCTATTCTCACTATTTCCGCCTATTCCACCTTTACCCCCTGTTATGTGGGGAACATATAAAAAACAGGGAGACTTCTGGGAATTGCTGCTGGAGAGAGCATCTCAGAGAAAACAGGAAGATGTGTATGATCAGTCAAGGGCATAGAATTATTCTGTAAATCGTGAAAAATTAGCAACCTAAATGTGTAAGGATTGCAGGTAGAGCCTCTGAATGGGGTATGATGCGACAATTAAAATGATAAGTAGGGGGGCTGGAGAGATGGCTCAGCGGTTAAGAGCACTGGCTGCCCTTCCAGAGGACCTGGGTTCAATTCCCAGTACCCACATGGCAGCTCACAACTGCCTGTAGCTTCAGCTCCCTGGAAGCTGGCACCTTTACACCAATGCACATAAAATAAAGTTAAATTATTTAAAAAAAATAAGTAGGAAAAAACACAAAATATGCAATTTGGTTTGCTCTCTATGATATAGTTTGACACTTTGTGGATGAAAGGGAGATGGAGGGGGTGGGACTATGGCAGTGTTCTTCCAACAGTGCTCAAGACCTGCCCCAGACATGCCCCTCTCTGGGCTCTGCCCTCCTCCTCTGCAGATGTTCCAGCTGGGCGACTGTGTGATGGGCACCATCGGCCCAACCCACAACTTTGAGCCCCCTCACTATGACGGTATCGAATGCCTGGCCATCCAAGGAGACATACTTTTCAGTGGCTCCAGGGACAACGGCATCAAGAAGTGGGACCTGGAACAGCAGGAGCTCATTCAGGTTCGGGGAGGGGAGGGGTGGGATGGTCCAGGGCAAGGCCCCAGGCAGACCTTAGCAGGACCCCTCCAAGACTGCCTGCTGTCTGCCATCTTCCCTGCTGTCCCTGCCCTCCTCTCCCTGCAGTCTGTGTTGGTTCCATTGGGACCCTCTGACCCCTGCTCCCCACCAAGCCCTAGCCTCTAGTTTGAATGTGAAGCACCCGGTCCTGTGTGCTTGACTTTAGCCTGGCTCTTCTGGAGGCTGAAGACTTCCAGCAGGGCAGATTCAGAAGTCTGAATGTGGGAACTGTGCAGAAGGACCCGTCTGGGCCTTTGAGCCCTCTGGCACAACTTAGCTCAGCCTGGGAATGTGGGGTCTGCCAGGAGCCAGGTAGCATCCTTCCACCGCTAGCAAGAGGGATGTGTGTGTTCCTGGGGCCTTGGAGCAGGCCCCCTCCCTTCTCTACACCTTATCAGCCCTGACCCTCCCACAGCAAATCCCCAATGCTCACAAGGACTGGGTGTGTGCCCTGGCCTATGTTCCTGGCCGGCCCATGCTGTTGAGCGCCTGTCGGGCAGGCTTCATCAAGGTCTGGAATGTGGACAACTTCACACCCATTGGTGAGATCAAGGGCCACGACAGCCCCATCAACGCCATCTGCACCAACAGCAAGCACATCTTCACGGCCTCCAGGTGGGTGCCGGGCAGGAGGGCCTCTTGTTCCCCTCCCTCTTCCCAGAGTCAGTATGGTGACAGGGCTGTGCAGCTGTCCCCACAGATCCGATTCACCCAGCAGAACCCCACAGAGCCCTCCTCTCTAAACCTCCTGTTCATCTTCACTGAGCACCAAGCTCCCAATGTCCTGGGTGCTGCACTAGACAAGGGATCAGGGAGCCCCTGGGCCCCGGGCCAGGACTTGTCCTCCCAGAAGTCCCGATCTCTCTCGCCCGTGCAGGAGCTAAGGCTTGCCCTGCCACTTTTAAACCTCTGCTTCTTTAGCTGCAGCTCTGCCCCCAACCCGTCAGGCAGTGCCAGGTCCTCAGCCCCAGGGGCACTACTCAGCCCGGTTTCTTCTTTTCTCTCCTTGTCCCCACCATGCCTCCCCCCCTTCTCTCCCCTCCCATCTCTTCCTATCTCTCCTCTCTGCCTCTCTACCTCTCCCCCCATAGTGACTGCCGGGTAAAGCTGTGGAATTACGTCCCTGGACTCACCCCCTGCCTTCCTCGCCGAGTCCTGGCCATAAAGGGCCGCGCCACCACCCTGCCCTGACCCCTCTCCAGCCCTCCCCTTTCCTCTCTCATTCTTCCCCTCTTGCCTTTTCCTGTCTTTCCCCACCTCGATCTGAGCTGCTTCTTCACGGTATGAGACTGTTTTACTCTTGACCTTCTTATTCTCCCTCCGTGCCCTGCCTGGCCCAACAGATGGCGCCAACAGCCCGTCTTGCAAGCATGAGCAGTGGGGCAGAACCCTAGGTAGCGGAGAGCAGAGGGGGAGGCATTGAGGCCTGGACGAAACAAAACAACGAGAAAGCCCAGGATGCCAGTCCTGCAGGGTCTTGGAGACCATGTCCTGGGCCCTCCCTTTGCCCAGACCCTTCCCTGTGCATCAGTGCCCACTGCTCCTGAGCAGTGCTTGCCTTAGCCCAGCCATACGCGAGGGAGGTGGGGAGTCTGCCCAGCCTTTACTTCTGGGGGCAGCCGGCTGGGCTCACGTCAATGGCTGAGCATCCTCACTCTGTCCTCCCCAGTGACCTGACAGTGAAGTTCTGGAGCATGCGACGGCTACCGGCGGCCCACCCTTGAAGTTAGGACTGAGGGCGGCTAGACCCTCGGACCTGGCAGCCCATTGGCGGCGTGGAAGGGACGCTGTCGCCTGACCTGAGCAGACCAGCCAGGGGCACTAAGGACAGAGGGTGTGGCCCTTCTCTTGCTCTGCTTCCTCTCCCTGGCCCGTCTGTCCCTCCTCTGCCTCCTGAGAAAGGAGAGGCCGGGGAGGGAGTAAGCTGTGAAGCCAAAGGGCACGATCCCTTCCCCGCCCAGTTCCTTGCCCTGCCCACAACAGGTCACACTGTCTCCTGCTGAGGCAGCCCTGCCCTTCCTCCGGGCCCTCAGCCCAGGGTGGCACTGGGCGGGAGAAGAAGTCCTTCTGCCCTCCTGCCCATCTATCCTCCAGTGAGCTAGCCTCTTCCGTGTCTCCCAGCCCCACCTCTGGAGCCACTGCATCTGCCTCTGAGCCCACCAAGGTAGTTCTCAGGTAACCATGGAAACCAGATGTAAGCAGCTGAGTCCTGCAGCTGACCCTAAACTCCTATGGCCACCAACCACCCACCTCAATGGGGCCCAGTCATTCCTTGGGGCATCCTCTGCTGAGGGCGCGGTGGAGCTGCTTAGACAATTCCTCTGGGGAGAAGGTCAGCAATACTGCAGTTAATCTAACTTATTGTTTTTTATTTTTATGTTTTGTTGTTGCCTCCTGGAAACTGACTTGAAGTTTCTTCCCACCTTCTCCCCTGCACTCGTGGTGGGGGAGTCTTCTCTTTGGCGCTCCAGCCCCCTGCCCCACCCTCTGCTCGGTGGGCAGAGGAAGGAAAGGCCTCTTCCACCCTCCGCAGCTCTGGCCTTTGCCCCGGCTCAGCTCCACCCCGGCAAACCTTCTAGAATAGTCCAGGTCTCTAGGCCGCCTGATGCCGCAGTGCCTTCCTCCATCCTGAGGCCTGGCATCATGCTGGGCAGCCTTATGCCAGCCATGCCTGCAGCCCACATGTGTCTTTTCCTTATGGGCCTCGTGCCCACAGACCCCAAAGGTCAGAGAGTCCACCCAAGACCAGCAGCCCAAGACCAGGGAACCCACACTTCCTAGAGTCCTATGTGGTCCAGATTGGTAGACTGTCCACTAGGTAGCGGCTTGGGTAGTAAGGCTACTAACCTAACTCCCCAGCTAATTATCTCTCAGCCCTCATGGGGACAGGAAGCCCCCACTGCTTCTTTTCCTTTAGTTATTCTAGAAATGGATTTTCAAGCCTTAAAACCAGCCTGGGCCAAAGGGCCCTCCCTTTTAGATTAGCAGGAGGAGGCTCACGCTCCTTCCTTACTTCTCCCACGGGGCTGTGGACTCAGCTGCAAGGATGAGGTGTAATCTGTGTCTGGCGCCCCCTATAGGAACAACTCTGAATTTATAGGTCTAGACCTTGAGAGGGGTCACTCCATCCCTCACCCCTGGCTTCCCCTGCCCTTAAATTGGTCCACACTTACTCCATTGCTTCACTGATCTCATGTTTCCTGGCCTCGTTCTGGGAGCCATGAACCCTAGCTCTGTTCAGAGGACATGGTGACTTGAGGACTTTGGATAGTTAGCGTAGCACATCTGCAATTGGCTCTTCTCTCTCTGTGGCCGGGTACACTGGTACCTGTCCATGTGGCCCTGCAATGGGAGGGTCCCTGCTGAGGACAGACCCTCTCTGAGCCATCCTGGAGCTGTATAGGAGACTAAGATTATCCCGCCTGTCGGTGGCCCCTGTTGGACATGGTGTTAAGTCTGGGTACGTGGATATCAGAACGATACGCCTGGAAAGCGGGTCAGCTGGAACCTGGACAGTCTGTCTGCAATGACCAGAGATCCTCCTTCCTCTGCTCATCCTGAACATGCTAAGAAACTGCCTTAGCTCTCAGAAGTGACCACGTCTTCTCCTCCACCCCTCTCCGCCTGAATGGAAAGCCTAGACCTTACGTCCTGTAAGAAAACCCAGAACCCATCTGCATGAGTGTTTACAAACTCCAGAAACACATGAGACTTATCTGACCCCATGGGCTGGGCTGCCCCAGCCTGGGGTACCGTACTGTATAGCTAGCTGCAAGGCCAGTTCTTGTACAAAGCGTGTGGTCTTACAGCCCCGCGAGAGGTGCTCACCGTCATTGCCCCTTCTGCCGTTTCTGATGGGTCACTACCTCATGGCGGGGCTGCTATGCTGTCCCAGCGAGTGTCATTGACTAAACTTGAAATCCTTTGGAGCTCTAGCGCATTGTCCCCTAGTCATTCTGAGCTGTGTTCTGGGAATGTTGGTGTCCCTTCCCACTCTTTCGGGGTGTCCAAGGCACACAGTCAGGGGCAGGCCCCTAGCTCCACTCATTGCACAAGCGTCCTACGTGTTGGAAGCACAAACTGGTTGTGATTTGAGCACAAAACAGGTCTCGGAGTAGACAATATGGGCAAACATGGATCCAAGAGGCTTTTCCCAGATGGGCTGAGTCTTAAGTTAGACTAGGGATGCCCATGCCTGTGGCTGACTCACCCATGTACTTCTGGGACTTATATTACTTCTTGTGCCCATCCTAAGACTTGAGGCCCAGGCCACATCTGTATGCTGTGGGGCCCTCCCTAGACCCCCATATCCCAGACCTATTAAAAACCCACGTATAGCTGTACCCCACCATTCTGAGCCTGAAGAGCCTGGACCCAGGCTCCCATCTCCTGAACTAACATCCACATCCTTGCTTCCGAAGCTGATTGGCTTCCGTCTGGATGGAACTTGTCTACTGCCCTCTCTCTTGGGCCTTCTCTGCACAATCCTGGGTCAGGACCCATTCCAGTATTAACCAGTTCAGTGTTTGCACTTGTTGGAGAGACTTGATCCCACAGCGGCCAGGTCCTGGAAGGCTGTGCCTGAATCAGCCTCTAAAGCCTGCCAAGGAGGGAGAGAAGGCAAAAAATGGGAGGCTGACCCAGCCCAGCCCTTGATGTGGTCAGAGTGCCACCATCAGCTACTTGAAAAGGGACAGCTATGGATCTGGAAGACGCCTCCCACCCTCGCCCTAGCTGCAGGCTTGGGCAAAAGGCAGGTTAAAGCACAAAGGCACACACTTGGGGAGGATGCTGTCTCCCGGGGGCATTCCGTGCTGCTCATTGTGGTAGAGGTGCAGGCAGAAAGCTGCTGTGAAATTGGGGCATTATGTTCTACCCTGCCAGTTCCTGGGGACCTCCCCTGGATTCTGGGCTGGGTGCAGCCACACACCCTTGGCTGAGCCTGGTTGGTCTGTGTGGGCAGAACCTGCCCTGCAGGAGCAGTGAATTCCATCCTGTCATGTGGTCCAGACCTGTGGCATCCGTCCCTTTGTCCTTTCAAGTTGGAAACTGCTTGCTGCTTAGAAAAAAGGCCAATGACTCCACTGAGCCTTCCTGAGCCCAGCCGTCCCCTCCTGACTCCTGGCTCTTCACTGCTCCCTAAGTGCAAGAGACTCTGCAGGGCAAGTTCTGCTTCTTTGACATCTTTGTTCCGTCCCCGGTGCCCACCCCTCTTCATCTCCAGCACCCACCTGACTTCCTTTGCCCCCTCCTTCCTCCTTCAATCCTGTGTCCTCAAGGCTTTGTCAAACAGTGGAAAGTCAGTACTGCTGAAAGTCAGAAAAGACCACTGATGTCTTGGTGCCCCACCCTGCCCCCAGCTCTTCCAGCCGCTGCCCCTACCCAAGCTGCGGGGTCTCTCTTGGCTCATGCGCTCTCCCGTGACATGGTAGCTCAAGGTGTGTATATGCTTTGTACCTCTTCCGATGACTGTACATAGGATATGAAAGTTATTTAAGCCTCATGTTGTACATTTCTGTTCTGGAATTGGATATGTGTGTTCTAAGATAAATAAAACTCGAATGACCATTGTCTGAGAGGTGTTGCCAGTGGCTGTTGACCTGTGGCTGCTGGTGCTTTCTTAGGGGTGGGAGGTTGTTTATGGGTAGGTATATGAGGCTGGCCTTTGTAACTGGGCCCCATGGGAGAACCATGCTCTATGATGAGTTTATGGTCCCTTGGAGTATGTTCTCTTGTCCCCGCCCTCCATGTGGCCTGCAGGGTTCAAGGCAGGTACAGGTGGTCAAGAGCAGACACCAGCACTGACTGAATACCCAGTACCAGGGTCCTTACTGTTAGGGGCATTCTTTGCTAGATCATCCCTGGTATTAGGTGATGGCCTCTTTATGAAATGAGGACATTCACAGAATGGAGAGACTCACCAGGACAGGGCTGGGCTTCGATCAGCCTGTACCACCAAAGCACCCACTTTCCGTCACTCACATATTGCAAGCCTTCCCTAGGACTCGGGACTCCCTGTGTGTGGCACGGGCTGGACATGTTTCATTTCGTTGCCACGTACGGAGAGAAGACAGAAATGTACACGTACTGAAAAGCTCATATAGCAAACCAGCTCTGCGATGGTCGTGATGCCATGACTAGGTCGGTGCTTTCCAGTCTTCGGGAAGCTGTCTTCTCCACCACCCTTGGAATGGAACCCAGCATCTTGTGCATGCTGAGCACATGGCCTGCCACTGATTTACCCGTCCAGCCATTCTGTGTTGTCATCTGTCTGTCTCTCTGTACACTCCGGTGTGTCTGGCCCACTCCTTAATGCCATCTGTGATTAGATAGCCTCCTATACAGCCGGGAAGCCAAGATCAACTTTTGTTGCTCTGTTTCCCAAAAGGAAAACCAAGTGGTTTCTGAACCCACACAAGTCCCTGTTGCTCATAGTGACCCAGCGAGCCAGAGTTTGGGGGGTGGGGAGGAATTCCGAAGAGGCTTCTGCTCTTCCAGCAGAGGAACTAGTGGGAGGGGACCCTTAGCCACAAAGGGAAACACAGTGACCATTCCTGCCCCGTGTCCCCAGCCTATGGGGCAGGCACAGAGCCTTCTGCCTTGGAGAGCGGGTTGGCTTCCTGAAGATCATTGATTTTGGCTAGGCAACTGAGCTCCACCCCATGCCAGCCTCCTGCCTCACCCTTGCTCCCCAAAGCGCATGTTTTACATAAGATCCTATTCTACTACTCCACAGACAGACACAGCGCATTGTGTATTGTGGGAAGTGACAACTGGGTGTGGCCAACTGCCACTGGGCTGGGCACATAGATGAAACTGAGAGGGGGTTCTGTAGCTTCCTGCTTGCGCTAACTCCTCCCTTCATCCCCCAGAGGGTTGGCAGCACTGATTTGCAAAATTCAGGTCACCCTGTGGGAACATCAATAGCCTTGGCCATGGGCCCAAAGTTAAGAGATTCTTAAATACAGGGGAATAGAGAGATGATGGCTCAGTCAAGAACACTGGCCGCACTTTATTTTTAATTTCTTTTATATTTATTTATTTATTATGTATACAATATTCTGTCTGCGTGTATGTCTGTAGGCCAGAAGAGGGCACCAGACCTCGTTACAGATGGTTGTGAGCCACCACGTGGTTGCCGGGAATTGAACTCAGGACCTTTGGAAGAGCAGGCAATGCTCTTAACCACTGAGCCATTTCTCCAGCCCCTGGCTGCACTTTCTAAAAGTTTATTTAAAGTCTGTAGGCTGCGGTGCACGCCTTTACTCCCAGCACTTGGAAGGCAGAGGCAGGTTGATCCCTGAGTTTAAGGCCAGCCTGTACTACAGAGTAAGTTCAAGGACAGCCAGGGCTATGCAGAGAAGTTTATAATTTTAATTGTGTATGTGTACACATGTTGGTCCTACACATTAGTGTGCAGGTACCCATGCCTGTGTGCCTACATACAGAGGTCAAAAGCTGATGCCAGATGTCTTCCTCAATCACATTCCACCTTGCTTACTTCCTTATTTGTATTTTATTGATTTCTGATTTCTTGAGATGGGGATCTCACCATGTAGTCCTGTCTACCCTGGAACTCACTGTGTAGACCAGGCTGGCCTTGAGCTCACAGAGCTGTGCCTGCCTCCCCTTCCCAAGTGCCACCATACCTGGCATCCCCCTTATTTTTTGAGATAGGTCTCACTGAGTTGAGAGCGTTCTGATTCAGTCTGGTCAGCTTGGGTTGCGTGCATGCACCCCCACACTCTGCTCTCTTCTGCGGGTCCTGGGAGGATGGACTCGGGTCATCACGTCTGTGCAGCAGACACTAGCCACTAAGTCCCTCTTAAGAAGCTGATGCCATTCATTGTCTAAGCCCGGAGGCACCTCAAGAGACATATTTTTCCAAAGCCCTCATTTTATACACAGAGGGAACTGAGGCCCAGAGAGGCCATCAGAACTAGCTGAGGAGATAACAGGACAGAAGAGCTCCAGGAACCTGCTCTTTTATACCTGTATCTTGGTTTGACTCAAGTGAATGAAAGCAGCAACACGTGGGAACACCCAGTCCTGGAGGAGGTTTCTTCCCAAACAGCTGTTACTGATTGTTGTGTCTGATTTTGTTTTTAATATAAGATATACTGTTTGTCCTTGCTTGTGAAGGCACATTTATCCTTTGGGGGCAAGGAAGGAGCTATCGGTGTCAGTGAGTCTTGGTATTTCTATTTATACACAGGGTATATACCCCTATGGATAAAGTGGCTAGCCCAGAAGGCTTCTAGTGGTAACTGGAGGCAGCTAATGATGAGGCAGAAACTGTGAGAAAAGCCTCCTGGCTGCGAAGAAATTAGCAGGACCTTTAATGCCATCCTTGGCTTGTTTGCAAGCAGGTAAGCTTGCAAGATAATGCAAGGAAGATGTGGGCCTAGGGAGGCCCGGAAAGGAGAGGGCACCTCAGATCCCTGAAGGCTTGTGTGCAGGAGACCACTGGGAACTTCAAAGCGTGGACCTGTGAAGCCAGGACTCCAGGCAAGTCCAAGCCTGGCATTGAAGGAGCTTGCATTTGTATTAGGAAGTTGCTGTCCTGTAAGCTTTTCCCAGGGACTGAAGTCACTTAGGAGAAAGGATGGTGAGAGGAGAGGGGCCATGGGAGCCACAGATGATCCTGTACGGACCCAGAACATCCCAAGGACCCACTGTCGGGCCGATGTAAGACTGATTCCAACAAGAAAGAGCGAGCTCTGATCTTAATATGCTAGGGGAAGGATACTTCTGGGCTGTGGTTTGGGCGGTGCCCAGGGGCAGCCGTATGCTACTTTTATAGAGTGGTCTTACAGAGCTAACCACACTCTGTGAGCTAAAAAAAAAAAAAAAAAAAAAAACAATCACTTTCTTGCTTCAACTAGCCAGGGGGACACTGCTATTTACCAGCAAGAATACTGCCCAGCCACTAGGAGAACTCAAAAGCAGCCTGGGAGCCTGGGGTATGTAGCAAGACAGTACCTCAAAAAAAAAAAAAAAAAAAGCTGGGGGACTGGAGAGATGACTCAGAGGTTAAGAGCACTGACTGCTCTTTCAGAGGTCCTGAGTTCAATTCCCAGCAATCACCTGGTGGCTCACAACCATCTGTGAGATCTGTTGTCCTCTTCTGCTGTGCAGGAATTCATGCCTGCTGAACACTTTATGTAATAAATAAATAATTTTTTTTAAAAAGGGCTGGTTACGGCGATACACACCCATAATCCCAGCACTCAGGCGGCAGAGGCAGGAGAATATGAGTTTGAGGCCAGCCCGGGCACATGGCAAAACCCTGTATAAAAACAAAACACACAGCTGCTAGCACAAATGAATTCTAGTTACCTTATGTGTCTCATGCCCAGCATGCAAAGAAAAGTGCTTAGATCACATGACTGAATAAGAGTGGCCATGGGGCAGCAGCACCAGAGAAGCCAGCCTGTCCCAGATGATTTCACACACACACACACACACACACACACACACACACACACACACACAGCAGCAGCAGCAGCAGCAGCAGCAGCAGCAGCAGCAGCAGCAGCAGCTCGTGACCACAGATTGATATCTAACTGCACAGAAATGAATGCTTTCTCTTTTTATTATCAGAGTTCTACAGGGACATACCATTTCTAGTGCCGGACTCAGAAGGTAGCCCGCTGTCACAGTGTTGGTGGCAAGCCTTCATCTTGGACCCTAGCATGCGGGCTCAGTGGTATCTCCTTAGGAACCTCCTTATGCAGAGGCAGGAAGAAGGGGTCTTAGCTGGAGTCACCGGCTCCTTGGCTTCAAGGATGTAGATAGTCTGGACGGCGAGGCAACTGACTATGGGGTCAGGGTCTTTCTGCATGTACCTGAAGGCTGTAACAGATCATACAGGGGGTGGCACAGTGAGCGGAGGAAAGGGGCCAGGTGGGGCAGCAGGACCCTGGCACTGCTTGGAGGAAGAGGGAAAACAGGCAACTTCTACAATATAAGCAAAGATGTCTTCTAGAAGTCCACACTGTCCGTCGCGATCAAGACCCCCAAGTTGTCCCTGGCTCAGGGAGACACAAGGCGGCTGCTTTTTTTGGTCCTACTTGCCTCTCCCTATCTCTACCTTCCTCCTCCATTCTATGTGAAGTCCTCTGACCCCCCACCCCGCAGCAGAACTGCAGCCCAGGACAGAGCCATACTGGCGGGGTGGGGAGCAGGGCACTGTGTCATGAACAGGAGAGAAAGACACAGTGTGTAGGGGACATGTCTCAGGGACAGTAAGAACGCAAAAGTTCCCACACGATAATATGAGCAGTGATGAGGAAGAGCTGAGGACACTGGTACCCCAGGGAAGAAGGTAGGGTAGCTCTTTCCTAGGGAGAGTTCCAGGAACCAGCCTGGCAGATAAGCATCCGCACCCCTAAAAGATGCACGCAGTAGGCAATGGGGTGGCCACTCACCTATAAATTCATCCTCGATTTCCTCTTTCTCGGCCCTGTTGAGAACCCGGATGATCTGACCTACAGGGGCACACAGGCACTCAGTGGCCTCCCAAGGGGGCCAGTGGGCCCTAACTATAAGTTCCCCAGTA